ATATAACCTCCCCCCCCAGTCTATGATAACTTTGCCTAAACAAGAGTGGAACGCTAAGCTGTGAGAATGTGAGCATCTGCTGTTATTGTCACTAAAGCCTGTCTACTGCCCAAGTCTGCGAGACCACATGCTCGGCTGTCCTCTCATCTTGCCATCCTCACCAATTAACTATTAACATGGAGGGCTGTACACATGCTCTCAGGGGCTCTTTAACAGGCTTCTTGGCGAGTGGAACAACTACTCAGCAGGGATGTGGGAACAGAGTAAGACTGGGATACAGGGCACTACAGTGGCTCCGCCCCTAGTCACACTGCACCCCACATTTCAGGATGTAACAAGAGTCTTAGTCAATGGAGCCATCTTCACAAACCTTTTAGGACAATGCCTTTGGGTAGATACTAAACTATAGTCTAGCAAGAGAGTTATGAGCAATAATACTACTTCATAAGGAAAGCTATTTTTAAAACTACATGTATGCCTGAAGACATTCAAAATGTACTGCTAAATATTTTTAGTTCTTTAAAAGATATTTAAAACTTATTTTTACACATTACTTCAAAGTACACTCATCAGCTTCTATTGTGCTGTTATAGAAATAACCTTTAATTCAAAGGAAATAGAAAAATTTCAAGTTTAAAGTTGTGAGACTGAACATAAAATACTTCAAATAAGAACTTTAAAATCACCCTTGTTCATTCTACTTAGAAGTATCATTACAACAATAAGTTAAAATCAGTTTTGAATCTATTATTTTCTCTATTTTAACTTCTCCCCCTCTTTTGCAATTTCCTTAACTATGTGTTCCTTCCCTACAATGAAATTAAACATGGGAAGCATGCCAAAAGTACAATAAAGGGTAACTAATCATTACTGTACAAGTCTGACAGAATGCTAATAACTAAGATAAGAACACTGATTGGCTGTTTTACCACTCCAAGAGATGAAAATATTTTATATACTTGTAGTCTAGTGCTACTTTAAAGATTCTTAATTATATGACAAAATTTCCAAGGATATAAATTGACATTTCTTTTTCTTGACAGAAACAATTATCACCACCAAAGCTCAAATATCCAACACATACACATACAGACATACACCCACCCTACACACAGATGAAAAAAAAAAAACACCAAAAACTTCAAAACACCCAGAACAATAACAAAAAAAAAAAACCAAAAAAAAAAAACAAGGACAAAGCACTCATATTCATTTTTTGTTTTATCCTATCTTTTGCATCCCCGAAGACAGTGACTTTGTCATGTTCAATACTTTATCTCCATAGATACCTATCATGCTTGCTGTATTTGAATGTATGAATGAATGAATGAATGGATGAATGGATGAATGAGTGACTGAATGAGCTAAACTGACCTTAGTCACACAATCACCATTTTAACTGTCTTAGAGACTCGAAAAATAGTACTGATCCCGGTGAGAAAGTGATGTGAGTCTTGTGTATATTATGCTACCTGGTCTGCCTTGAAACTAATCCATGAGAGTATACAGCCAAGCGTTTTTCATTTTGAAAAGTGTCAGGGAACTGAAGATCTCCATTCTCTTTCTGCTGTTAGTAGTGTGCAGCCAGAGTTTCTAGCATGCCAAGCAGGTGCCTCCCTCTGAGCTGCTCTCTCAGTACTTCTATTGCATCGACAAACTGAACATTTTAATTTTTGACAAATCTTTTTGTTCAGATTATTAATTCTGAAGGTATCTTAAGTAATACACAGTGTTGATGATGACTGCTAACATATACTGAATGCCTAGTATGTGTCAGTATGTGGTATTTCTCATCCTCTGACTTGTGTATTTTTGGCCTTGTTTTTTCAGATGAAGAAGCTAAGACTGAGAAAATTAACTAAGACCAAGTAATTTATTGATCACTTACACCTGCAAAAGCACATTATCTTTTCATCATTGAATACTGCTTTGCTCCCATCTTCCTTAATTTGATTCTGCACCAGCATCTTTATGGAATAAGCAGCACAGTATGGTGGCTAAGTGAGCAGTAACTAGAGAGGCACTCTCAGTTCTAACTTCTGATGCGTACCTTGAGAAAAGATAACAGCATTAGGAACTTGCAGAAGTTGGGAGGATTCACTTGTATCCTCCTCCCTGGTGCTAGAGTTACAGTGGGCATCATTGTACTTGGCTTTTGACTTGGGTTCTAGGACTGGACTTAGGTCTTCCTGTTTACTTACTAAGCCTCCTCTCTAGCACTTCTGATTAAGCTGCTGAGCAAACTGCTACCAGTTCTTATTCTTTGTAATTTCCCTTCCAGTCTTTGTAAGTTATCAAAGTTTTATTCCCTACTTATATCATACCTGACTTGAACAAATTGGTATGTTACATTTGCTAAATGTATTGATACAAAAACAAATATATAGTTTTTAAGGCAGTTTGTTGTTTATAGCTCACTTGATAAGCAGGACCAGAAATCTGCCAGGTATGATAGCTCTGTAGGAGTATGGGGAAAATGAGAACTATTAGAAGGTGGTGGATGTTTTTACTGTGAGCATTTTCCATCCTGAGGAGCTTAACGATAAACACACCACCTATCTGACCTTAAGTCTTGTTATTTCTATTTTAATATGTTAAAAAGCATAAGTTTAAACAATGATGTTGTACAAAGGCTTAGAAGTCTCTAAATTCTGGGTACATGTCCTTGTCATTCAGCCATCTGACTTGTGGTATAGATGGGCTGACATGAAAACATCTAGAGTATTTCTGTTGTTCCTTGAAACACAAGCTAAAGGAGTCTGTCAGAGACATCACAATAGATGGAACATTTTAAAGTAATAGCTTTTTGCTTTTCCTCAAAAAATTTTCAGTTGTTTAAACATAAATATAAAATCGTTATATCACAACTGTTTTTCTTTACTTACAATTTTGCAAAAGGAAACATACATCCATATATTTGTCCTTTGTGAAGAATGGATTTTTTTCTAATCTTTCATATACTCTAATTTATTGAGGACTTTGCAATGATAATTTTGTCTTTTTTGTTTGTTTTTTAGAGACAGGGTTTCTCTGTATTGTTTTGGAGGCTGTCCTGGAACTCACTCTTGTAGACCAGGCTGGCCTCAAACTCACAGAGATCCACCTGCCTCTGCCTCCCGAATGCTGGGATTAAAGGTGTGTGCCACCACCGCCCGGCAATAATTTTGTCTTTTAAAATACTAAATGATAGCAGTATTAGCCAAGAGCTAAGTTGTAGAATTTTGTGATGGCTAAGAAACTGTGATGTAACTATAAAGATGGAAGGGGCTAGAATCTGAGGAAAAAAAATGGGCCTTGCCATTTATCAACTGGTCCAACTTGGGAGCAGAGATTGGAAGAAAGCATCTGAAGGGGTTGTGGTAAAGATCCATGCACAGAAAGGCTGTGAGCTGCCAGCGCTTCATCGGTAGCTGTAACACAACATAGCTGCAGGGCAAGCATGAAGAACTGGACTTTCACTTGTAGCTTCAGATCTATCACCAAAATCAACAAGCTCACCACATATAACCAAGCTGCTACTGAAGTATTTAGTTTACAATAACATGATGAACAATGAAAACATTACAAGCATGCACAGCATGTCTAATGCTATTAGAGAAAGGGGTTTCCCTATAATAGTTATACAGATTCAAGTTCATCATAGTAATAATATAAAGATACATAATATTTTGTTATTAACATAATAAAAACATAACTCATGTTTAATAATTATCTCTTAAAAGCCTGTAAAGGAAACCTGAGCTAACCTATCATGTTTATTAAAAATAAATTCTACTGTCTAGTGAGTAAAAATTCTCTTGTTATTTATGTCTCAATTTTCAGTCACTGCATTGAGATATGTTGCATTACTGTAGATAATTAATGTAACTAGATTATATTTTAGTGCATTTATCATTTGCTGGAATGGTCTAGAAACATTAGAACAAAAACATATATGTAGTTTCAATAATTTGGTATTAGAAAGAATTTTCCAGGTGAGAATCAATACTCATTTGACTCACATTTACTAATCTATCTAGGAAAAACCAGGGGTTGTACAAATAAGCTTTTGCTCATATTGATATTACATTATTATAAGGCCACATGAAGTCTGGCCTTGCCTTCATACAAGACTATAATGTATAAGATATTTAAGACCACATGAAATTAAGTTTGAGATTATAAAAATCCTTTGACAAAAAAAAAAAAAAGCTGCTCATGATGGTTCACATCTATAATTCCAGTAGAGCAGAGGACTGCCTCTGGGTCCACAGTAAGAAGAGGACCAGTGAAGTTTCATCACTCATTTACTTAATAAATAATTAGAATGGTAGAAACTAGAAGATGTTTAAAAAACAAATTAAAATTATGCGAAAATTAAAATATAATAACTCATGAATACAAGAAAAGAAATGTACAAAATATTTAGAAGAAGATAGGAAAAGCTCTTAAAGAGAGGCCAAGATCAATAAGACTGAAGGCTAAGGGAGATGACAAATTAAAATTGATGAAACTCATCAAGATTTAAACCTTGTAATTTCAAAAGACTATTAAGAAAAGGGATGTTGGCCGGGCGGTGGTGGCGCACGCCTTTAATTCCAGCACTCGGGAGGCAGAGGCAGGTGGATCTCTGTGAGTTCGAGGCCAGGCTGGACCGACAGCCTCCAAAACAATACAGAGAAACCCTGTCTCGCAAAACCAAAAAAAAACAAAAAACAAAAAAAAACAAAAAAAAAAAACAAAAACAAAACAAAAACAAAAAAAAAGAAAAAAGAAAAAAGGAAAGGGATGTCATAGATTGGAAGAAAACTATTATAAAGCACATTGTTAAATAAATATAAAGAACTTTGCAAACTGATAATAAGATTAACCCACAAAATTGGACAAAAACCAAGAAGATATTCAAATAGCCAAATGAGCACATAAACGATGGCCAGTATCATTAGCGGTGAAGGAAATGAAAATTGAAGCCACATTGTTTTCCATTTCTTCACTGGATAAGGTAGACAACACAGTCTTACCTGGATCAGATGTGTTGGCATTGTGATGATACAGGCTGACAGTGAGGTTCTTAGAAGGCCACGGAGAACATAGAGGAACTTGGTAAGCCTGTGACTGTTGTCAGAGTTTTCGGTGCAGCAAATGTCATCTCCCCACAATGGTGAACCAAAGTTCTGAATTCCTATTCTTAAAATGTTTTTCTGTTTTTTCTAAAAGACAGTAAGAGGAGGTAAATACATATCGACTAGCTCTTATCTAAACTCACATTATCAGGAAGACAAAAGATGTTCTATAAACTGATGCGATCTTACTAAGAAGACAGTATAGAACAAACTTTAGATTACAAAAGTATAAAAGAAAGCAGGACAAAGTCAGTGTATCCCAGCTACTCAGGATACTGGGGCAGTCCAATTGACTGAGTGCAGGTGTTCAACACCAGCTCAGCATCACAGCAAATCACTGTCTATCAGCAAATGGAGAGTATTTATTTTAATTTTTTTTTGAAAATTTGAAGGTCATGCTAATAATCAAATTTGAATTTTGTCTAAATTTGAGGTGACATGCTAAGAATTCTGGTCGAGATGGTTAACAATATATGTGTTGTGGTGCTTGCCTGTATTTCTACTATCTGGGAGGTAGAGGCACAGGGTCACCGTAAGTTCAAGACCAGTGCAGTCTATAAAACAATGGCCAAGTCAGACAGGTGTATAGAGTGAGACTTTGTCTCTGAAAGCAAACAAAACTAACAAACAATAATAATAGCAAAACCTCAAAATAATATTAGATGTCAGAGGTGATGGTAGAGAAAAAGGTTAATTTTTCTCTACCTTACAAGTACATTCCTAGCATTTTAAAATTCTACACCTCCTCCAATAAACCATGGATTCCATATTTCTCTTTCTATCACCTGCTGTGTGAGTTGTTGTTTGGAAGGTGTTTACAACTTTAAAACTTTTTGGCTTTATATTTTATATTTACTTCTTTTCCATAAAGTTGTTTTTACTGACTTAATTTAAATTCAGGTTAACATACAGCAGATGACTTTTAAAGACTACTGACATTATATTTAAGATAATAGTGCCCATTTTTTTTTTTTTGGAAGAAAACACTTTAAAAGGGCAAGGACATTTGTCAATAAGTATTTGACAACACATGTTTACAAGTTCTTCTGTTTGGGTTATTCTAACTGAACAAATGTTTCATAAATGCTCTCCTTAGCAATCTAGCAATATTTTGGTACACAAGAAAGAGATGTGCACAAAAAATGGAATATCCAAGTAGTTAGATGATCATTATTACATCTATTTTGGAATAAACAAGGTATTATTTCTTAAAGCCATGATTTCAGATATGTGCCAGTCTAAGTGAGCTTTCTGAGGAAACAGGGCCCTAAAATGTATCACTCACTATTGTTATAAAACAGCACTACAAATTATTAAACAACAATGATTATTACTCAATATAGCAAATCTATTTTCCCAACAGAGAAGACAAAATTTGAATCCTTTTATTCCCTTTGTAAACGTAATTTATTGACAAAGGGTGATAGTGCAAAAGAATCTAAACGTTTGAGGAGTTTGGACTATGAAGTAGGTGCAGGATAAAGAATCCTACACCAATTTCTTGGTACCTGGGGGCTCTCATTCTAGAGATTTTTTGGATTTCAAAACCCTATGTATGTTCAAGTCCTTTATATACAACAATGAAGAAATTGCATATAACATATATATCTACCCATCTACTTTAAGTCATTCCTGGGTTAATGAATTATAACACACAATTTAATATAAATTATAAAAAGAATAGTTATATTGAGTTGTATAGAGACCAAGGATGAGAAAAAATGTATATATTTAGTATAAATGAATGTTTCCAGCTTTTAATATGTTACGATCTTGGTCCACAAAAAGTGTTTAATTGTATTTGTGTATCACCCAGAAAAATGAAGTGAAAACTGCATGGGGCAGATATGAAAAGCACAAATATGGAGCAGTAAAGAGAGGCCTCAGTGGGTTAGAACATGTGCTGCTCTTGCAGAGGTCCCACCTTCTCCTTCCAGAACCTGCATGTGCAGCTCCCCACCAGCTGCAACTCCAGCTCCAGGACATCTGATGCCCTCTTCTGGCTTTTGAGGGCAACAGTCTCTCTCTCACACACAGACACACACAGTAAAATAAGATAAACCTTACTACAATTATTTAAAAAAAGAAGTACAAATATGTTCCCGGAAAATTTACGTACAGTATCTGTGGAAAAAAGTGAGATGACACTTCTTTTCCTTATTACTAAGAACTTAAATTTAAGTAAATTGGTAAAAATATAAGGCCTGTTTTGTTACTGCTAAGCTTGTTATCCATGGTAACAGGCCTAAGTTAGTTTCTCAATAGACAGAACAATGGGGAAATAGAAATAGGGAATAAAAGCTGGAGACATGACTTCGTGGCACAGTACTGGCCTAGTATGTGCAATGCCTTAGGTTCAAGTTCTAGCTCTGCCCTATCAAGACAAGAAAATAGAACCTTACCAAAATAAACAACCAATTAAAAGACAGATAAAACAGAGATGAGAGTGAAATGTGAAGAGGACAGAGGGCAGCATTTAGAACCTAGAGACCACTGGTCTTTTAACACATGGTCACTATTGCCTATTATTGTAACAGAAAGGACTTGCTAAATGTTTAAAATGCTTTCAGACATGGAATAAGAAATTATAAATGCTTAGTTTATCTGGCATGTACTAGCATATATACATAGAAGGAATGAAAACACTATCAAATAATGAATGAATGATAAGATCTTTAAGTGCTTGGTACACAGCACATTAAATAAAAATGAACATAATATTTCAACATAAAGAATACATTTTCATAAATATAATGGTAATTGCTGGACCAAAAACGGAATCTCTTGATTTACCTCAGATGTTAGTTTTTAAAGTACAAAAGGTAGCTGATAGTTACACAGTAAGTACATTTATTCCCATAACATCTAATGTTTAATTTAGTATGCCAAGTTACAAAAAAATCAATGTTCAAATGATATTATGAAGCAATTTTTAAGTGTTTCCATCCAAGTATATTTATAGATGAGCTACATAATTTAACTTAGTACCAAGGTTAATTACAGGTTATAAAAAATAGGTAAGTCTGTTCTTTATAGAGTTATTTTAAATGTTTTAGTTAACTAGTTCAATTTATTTGAAAGTGCACTAAAGATAAAATTTCCCTTTAAAAATTAGGACTCAGTTAACTATCAGAATATTATTTTGACCCACGAACACTACTGCCGAAAAGGAGGGCCTCTCAGACTTCTTGCTTTCCTGAAATTATCTGCACTTTCTGAGACAGTATATACCAGGGAATGTAGCAAGCTATATATTTCATCAGTTAGTAACTTAGTAACTATACTTTAGTTACTAAATAGGAAGTTTACTTTTATAATGACTTATTGGTATGCTCAAGTTTAATTTGAACATTTTAAGCATTTCTGGTATTCACTATAGAAATGTTTACCTCAATTCTGTCTGTCTTTATGGAGTCAGCTGTTATGTACAACAGTGACTCTCACTATCAGGGAACCAAATGTGCTCTATCCTATTTTCTATCAATTTTCAAGAATAAATCAACTGTTCTTGAAAGTGATGTGCATTTTCCACACCCAAATAAACAAGGAAACAATCTTCATTTTGTTTCAACACAAGGATTCTTAGGAGGTTTGTTTTTAAGGAGCTTATGTATATATTCCTTGGCAAAGAGTAAAGTGATTCCCGTTACTTTTTTGAGCCTTATAAATTTCTTGCTTTCAGAAAAGGTGTCATCATTCTGCAAGAGCAGCAGCTCTGCACACTGCACCATAGAAACTGTTATGACATGCCTGTTTCCATAGCTACCACTGCAAGTGGAGAAAGGTGTCTGTCAGGGACCAATTTGCCTCTCCAGATGCAAACTGGCACCAAAAGAAGACATGGCCCCCATAAATCTCAGCTAGGAACAAAAAATTTGCAGTAATAAGGAATGAAGAAAAAACTTCATTAAATACCAGTGGTCACTACAAAGACTATGGGCACTACAAAGACTATGGGAGACACTAAAAGCTATTATAAATAAATGCTTTCCAGATACACATAAACATTTTAAGCATTCTATTAAACTGGCAATCAAAATCAATAAAAATTATTTATTTTGCTATGGAGAAATTGTTACAAAAAGCAAGTAAATTGATAAAAAAATTTAAATCTATGAATTAATAGTAAATGTAGATAAAAATGCCAAAAATTAGTTTCTAGCTTCTTTGTATTCATTAAAATAAATGTTGTTGAGATACATTTGTTAAAATAACATACACATCTTTTAGTAATACAATAATACAAATATTTTTGGTGTCCAATACAGTTCAAATCACTGAGAAAAATCTATGGAAGGCATGAGTTTAACAATATGATTTCTTCATTTGTTTAAATTACACTCAGTGGAACATCGTCAGTCCTTGGAATTTGGAGAAAGTATAAAATTAGAGGTACAGAGAACAGTTATGCTATAAAATATAGCAAAAATATATTCAATGAAGCAATTCAAAATGTAATTTAACAAGGCATAAAATCTTGTGATAATGCTTACACATAAGGTAATTGGAATTAAGGTTTTAATAACATCAATATGAATATTTTTAATAGAAAAATAGGAACCTTGTAGTCCTAGAAGTAATTTAAAAGCATAACTACTTATTAATCTTAGAAGCTATAAATAGGTACTTAAAGACAATCAGCATTGAGAAAGCACGTGATTGTTTTGTGTGCATCCTGAGAACCAAGTTAGAACTCTTATTCACATCAACACTTATGAAAACAGGGTGCACATTATTGATTTTTCTCAGGCTCTCCAAGCATGTCCCAGAGATTTGAAAACAACATTCTATATATACATGACTAAAGAAGGCTTTGGAGTTCTCATACCTGGGGATTAGATCCATCAAATCCTTCAGTATAAATGATGTTCTGGATGAACTGAAGCAGTTTCATATAGTCTCCTGACAAAGAACTGTTGGTAAGAAGTGGTTCAAATACATAAATACTACACAGGAAGTAAAATATCTTTTCTATAACAGCAAGTAAACAATTAAAATATGAATTTATCGGAGTGTTTAAATATAAAAGAAAATTCATCAAATTAATGCCAATTTAAAGTATGAAGCCAATATGAAAAAGGAAGTAAGTTACATCATCTTATATTTAATTCCTTAGTTTTTGACATCATGGGAGGATAAAATCTGTGGAGACTGAGATGACTTAATTATGTCAGGCTTAGTTACCTCCAAGAAAATTAATGATTTAATGAAGCAACCTAAAAGATGAAGCCACCATAGCTTTTCAGGAGTAATCATACATAATTAACACATAGTTAATGAACTGCCAAGCTACACACTCCCAAATCAATGTCCTGATCACCTGAGCTCATCTTCCATCAAAGTTTTAATTTTCTTAGAACAAACTGCTAAAATAACTTAATAATTTGAATATTTAGGACACATGAAGACAAACAGCATAATCTACTAAATTTATTGTTTACCCACTTCCTTTGTTAAAAGATGCAAAGATAAATGCATGGACTTAAGAGGACATCTAAATTATTTCATATACAAATCAAGCATTGTTTATTAATTTAAAAACAGTAAAATGAAAATTTAAAATGCATTTGGGACTTAAAAAGAAATATATCCCTTGTAAATGTTGTGAGATGTTTCAGGGAAAACTTAGAAAAAATGAAGAAACCCTGAGTGAAGTTAAGAAGTGCAGCAGCCCATCTGTTTAGTCTGCAACATCAATAGAAGCTGATTCAGCAAAAATACAAGCACATCTCTGTGCACTTGCGTGCTCCTGAGCAGCTGCTGCTGATTCCGAAGTCCCTATCTTGCAGAAAGAGAGTGAACAGGAGAAAAAACAAATGTGACTCCAGGAGATGAAGGGATGAAAAGCATGGGTATGTTTCATGTAATTACTGCACCCTTTCAGGGACAATACAGGATATGTTGACATGATTTTCTATTGTTATGTGGAGAACATGTCTATAAATAACACAGTATAGGGGCAAATCTGTAAGAGTGCCCTGCCTCAGCATACATTTGTTTTGGTTAGCTCAACTTTTAGAATACAGTGTTAGTATGTGAATGCAACGGATGCAATTTTCATCTGGGAAAATTAGCTTTATACAGGGAGGGCTAGATCTGCTCCAAGATCCAAGACTATGAAATACATTGCAGGTACCAATCTGATGAAACTTACAATGGGTTGGAGGTGAGCATATGTATACCTACTCCCTCCTAATGCATTAACAGAGCATTTAAAGTCCTCCAGTTTCATCCATGATGTAGAATACAGGATTCTTTTTCAAGGATAAGAAGTATTTTGCTACATGTTAGTGATTATACCATATTGTCTCCATGTCTACTGATAATACAGGTTGATTCTGTATCTTGGCTGTAATGGACACAGAATACAGTTATCCCTTCAATACACTGAATTTATTTCCTTAGCTGTAAGTACATGAGTACCACTAGTAGATATAATACTTGCACTCTGCATTTTGTGATGAACTGTCATACTGCTTTCTATGATTATACTAATTCATATAGCTACAAAGAGTGTACAAAGATTTCTCTTTCTTTACATTTTCACCAGTACTTACCCTTTCCTTGTTGATAACAGCCATTTTAATTGTTGGCAAGGCAACATTTCACAGGGGTTTTAATATACATAATGACACATGTTTAAAATATACATAATACTCTAATGATTAGTAATATTTGAGGTTTTCCACCATAGATCTGTTGTCTACTTGTATGCCTTCTTTAGAATAATGTCTACTGAGGGCCTTTGCCCGTATTTAAAATCAACTTCTTTGCCACTGAGTTGTTTTTTCCACAAAGACTTGAGGTATTAAGCTCTCTCTTACATGTTCTTTCTCTCATTTCTCCCTCATTCCTTAGATTGTCTCTTGATCTTGTTCAGTGTTTCATTTTGGAGAATGAAAGTGAAGGCATAAAACCAATACATGTGAATCACTTTGATTATTTATCATCAACATAAAATAGTCTACAAGATACAGATGCTTAGAACGTTTTAAGTAATAAAATAATTTTTTAATTAATTGAAGTTCTTAGTAAAAATTTTACCAAAATAAAATTAAGAAATATGTTTATGCATAATAAGTACTAATATTAATTTCTGAATGAATCATTTAAAATGGGAACTGTTCCTTACTAAAATTCTAAGCACTATTAGTTACCTCACATTGCTGTTCAATATTTATAAAAAATATAGATATTGATAAAAGTAAATATCTTCTATTATACTGATAAAAATAAATATCTTCTATTTCCACTGGAAAATTTGAACTTATTATTGATTCTGCAATGTTGAAAAATTTTATTCTGTGTGTGTGTGTGTGCGCATGTGCGCATGTGTCTAGTGATAGGAATTTACAAGAAAGAAATTGGTCTACAAGTAAGACCCTAGCTTTGTTATTGTTGTTTCCAAACCTTTTTAAATCCATATGTATATGTGTATACGTTTGAGCAAGTTCAGATACATGTGTGTCACAGTGAGTGTGTAGAGCTCAGAAGATAACCTTGTCCTTAGCCTCTTTTCCCAACATTTAACAACGTTTTGACTATTTCAAATAGTTAAAGACTACCGACTTTTAAACATTATATACTTTTATTTTATGTGCACTGGTGTTTTTGCCTGCGTGTATGTCTGTGTGAGGGTGTCAGATCCCCTGGAATTGGAGTTACAGACAGTTGTAACCTGTTATGTGGGTGCTAGGAATTGAACCTGGGTCATCTGGAAATGCCAGTGCTCAGAACTTCTGAGCCATCTGTCCCGGCCCATTTTGAACCACACATACTATTCTGCTTTATTCTTAGAACTTTCAACAATTTTTACATTAAAATGAGCTAATAGTTCTATGTGCTTAAAGCTATTACAATATATAAAAATATAAGGCACACAAATAGTTACTTGAACAAATTTCTAAGATTTATTTTTATTTTTTAAGTGTTTGCCTGCATGTGCATTGCTGTGCCTGAGGAGATCAGAAAGCAGCATTGGATTCTCTAGAAATGAAGTTATAGATGAAGTTACAGATGATTATGAAGTTATAGATGAAGTTACAGATTTTATGATGTTATAGATAATTTTAGTCCTCTGCAGAGGAACAGGTGCTCTTAACCACTGAACTATATCTCTAGCTCTGGGACTAATTTTGAAACTTAAAATACCAAGTATTTAAAATTATTTTTAGTTTCACAAAGGAAAGCTTGGGCAATAGGAGAAAGATAAATTTTTATCTTTAAAGATAACATTTTTGTCTGTTAAAAGAAATCTAAAATAGAATATGGAATCACAATGAGAAGTTGATGAGTGAAAATTTTACAGGCAAAAAGCAGACTCTTGGCATATATGCTGTTTAAGAAGCCTACCTAATTTTAATAACATCAGTTAATAAAGCGTTTGGTTACAGTAAATACTGAAAGACTTTGGTGTCATAGCATTTGGTGGGTACCTTGTGATGTCATTGTCCTCGTTTTGTGGTCAGGAGAATTAAGGCTCACTGCAGGATAAATGACTCGTCCAAATTATATATGATAAAGTGAGAGAAAAGGCATGTGAAATGAGTATATTTGCTGGGCACAGTGGTACATGTCTTTAAGCCCAGCACTTGAGAGGATGAGACAGGCAGACCTCTGTTGAGTTTGAGGCCAGCCTTGTCTACATAGTGAGCTTCACGCTGGTCAGGGTTATATAATGAGAGCAAGTCTCAACACAAATAAACTAGAACAAATAAGACAACCCTGAAAACATTCTCAAGCTGTGATAATTTGCTCTTTCAACTACACTAAGGTAAAGTCTCTGAATAAGGAACACAGAGAGTTAAGGAGTTCACAAACACTGCTGTGGTTCACAGGAACTTTGAGTCTGTTTCATTCAACACATTAAATGAAGCATTCTAGGTTGCAGTTGCAGGGGGAGATATTTTAGCTGTACCCATGAAATCTTCACCAATGTGTCTTGTTGTACTTAACTAGGGAGTGTCATAAAATAAGGGAGGTTTTCATACTAATTGATAACTGAGCACCACCACATACACAGCAGGAAGATGCTGAGGCCTGGAAACCAGCTCTGGCTTGGTTTGTGCCAACATATCAGCTCAACGTGGGACACAGGCAACTTCTTTAAATTTTCTCTTGACTTTCTTATCCACCATAATTTTAAAAATATATGGCTCAAAAATCTTTTAATTTGCAGGATTTAAAAAATAAGAAACTCTGGTCACTTAAATATTTGTTTAACAACCTGATAGAAATAATTGAGAAAAAAAATAGAGTCTATAAAAAAGTAAGATTATCATTCTCAAAACATATCATCCATAATTACAATGAATTAAAATAAAGATGAAGCACCTTTTGACATTATTTTGAAAGCTAATGGAAAAATAAAATTTATCTTACTAAAAGTCTATTTGCATGTATATTTCAAGGATTCAACTATGACAAGTAGTAAGAAACACTTTATAAGGCAATAGGCACAATATATGTCTCAACTAATTGTATAAAATACTTTGGTGAGCTAAAGGTTTATTAGCATATAATTTACATGTGATTCCAGACATTGTGAAGTCTTTTCACAAGTAATTTTCAAGTTAAAAATGTCATTAGGATTACCCTGAAGGCTGTCATTTACTGACTTTTCTTCTCATGCTTTTCACCTAATATTGAACTGGAGTCTGACTATGGAAGCTTTGCAAGAGAGGAAAACACAGAATCTAGGAATACATCCAAGAGTGTGAAGTAGATCAATGACCAGCAAGCCCTCTGGACCACACTTGAAAAATACTTCACACCATGGCTAAGCAAACCTTGGTTTGGCATGGAGTGTTAAGTGAAGACATGATCTTTATGAAAAATAATTCAGACTGAAACTACACTGCCTTCCGTCAGTAACTTACTTAGATAAATAATTAGGTTAAGTCTCCTACAGGCC